AAATCCATAAAATCCTTTGTTTGAAGAGGAGATGTGTGAAGACAAAGACCCATCTTCTTAACCCCCCCCGCCCCGGCCTCAACCGGACTGCGCGCTCAGCCCGCTGCTTCTATGCTGAGTCGCCCGCCTGCCTGCCTGCCTGCCTGCCCAGGTGTACTCTCTCCACTCAACCATGTAACCTCGCTCTCCCCCAGTCTGAGCCACTGGGCACTCCCTCTCAGGTCCTGTCTGGAGAGGTGCCCATCCGTTCTTACAGATGTCCCTGCCCTAATAAACTTTGCTACTTTACTTTCCACTGCTCTGTCTCACACCTGAATTTCTCGCATGAAGACAAGAACCCTGCCATTAACCAGTAACAATATCATCCCTCTCAGTCTTGGGAAGCACAGCACAAGAATCATTCATCCATAACTGCCCACAGCAGGAGCTGGAGTCAGGGAGATAGGGCTGTGCATCTTCCCCACGCAAGGCCTTCAGGGCAGAATTCAGCCTCCCACGGAATGCAGTCCCAGGGCAGCAGATGGGTGGGCGGCAGGCCTGCTGCAGTCTTTCATCAGCTGCTGCAGTCCCATGGAGGCTGAGACTGTGGGTGGAACCCGGGAGGGGGAGGCTTATGCAAAACGGCACGTAGTTCAGGCAATGGGGCGAGGAGGCCGCCTTCCCTTTACTCTAAGTCAGGTCCAAGCTTGGCAGAAAGAGGGCGTCTCTACGGAGGGGGAGGAGGAGGAGGTGGAGGGGACAAGGACAGAGAAACTGGAGAAAGGAGGGACAGGACAGAAGGAGGAGGGGAGAGGGGAAGGGGCCTGAAGTGGAGGGAGGAGAGACAAGAATGCAGAGCGGAAGGGAGGCAAGAATTGGGAGACAGAATTTGCTGAACTCGAAAAGGAAAGGCCATACTAGGAGCATCGTGAGTTTGCAGGCAATGGAGGGGGCAGGCGTTGAGCCCCAGTGAAGGTGGCCGACCACACAGCTGAGCTGAGGGGCTCCAGGCCTGGGAGTGGGGGCCACATCTGCAAGCCCACTTTCTCCAGCACGCCTCCCTCCAAGGCAGAGCCGGCTGGGAGCTGTCCAAATGCCCGGTGCTGAAATGTGCGGGCGACCAACAGCCTCTCAGGCAGAGCCTCTCAGTCCTCCTACAACTCCTTGTTAAGCACCTACTGCAGGCCAGTCAGCATTGCAAGTGCCAGGGAAATCAGAGAACACTTCAGACACAACACTACGCCCTTAGGAAGCCTGCGTCTGCATGGGAGAAGGCAGGATAAGTAAGACACACAGTGGCGTGTTAGAGAAGGCAACATTCTACAGAGAAAAAAAGAAAGTGGGAAAAGAATGAGTTCAGCCAAGACACACCCCAAACGATGTCCCCACGGAGGTGACATTGTGGTGTAGGGTGTCCAGGCAAGAAGTGCTGGGTCATAGGTCATGGGAACTCTCGGCTGGGCAACCTGTCAGAGACCAGACCCCAAAACTATCAGCCCCAGGGAGCTGCTGGTCCCCTCTGTGGTTCCCTATCATCTCTCCAGCCTCAGATTACCTGAGCCCCTACTGAGCAAGATAAACGAGTTTCCATCGTCTACATCCAGAACCAACTTAGGACTGGATGACCTGAGACACCAGGCAGACCATGTCTTCACTCTGGCCTTCTTACTTGTTTATAAAATAGGGACAATGACCCTTGCCTAGTGGGTAAGGTTTGTGGAGGTCCCAAGGAGATGGTGGTGGCTGGATTCCCCCTGCTGTACCTGAGGGAGGGATGCTCTCACAGGAGCCCCACTCGTTTGAGTTCCCAGCACTCAGCACAGGTGCCGTATGAATGGAGTGACAGCACCGCCTGGGAGATGTTCACAGTTTCACTGATTTATCTTTTTCCCTGCAAAAGCACCAGCTTTTTTTGTTCAGAGGAGCCCAGATGGCAGCTCCAGGACAGCAGAAGCTGAGACCAGATTCTAAGTGGGTCCTCCGCTTCAGGCCACGGGACCCTTATTCTGGAGACACTGGACGCAAGAAGCCCCCGAGGACAAGTAGGTTTGGGCAGCTCAGCATACTCAGTGCTCAGCACCGGCTCCAGGAAGATCAGCTCCAAGAACCCTGTTTAAGCCCTCTGGTCTTGAAACTCGCTCTTCTCTCTATTGGAGGACACTTACTATCACCCTGAAGGTGTTCTGGGAACTGCTGGGCGGGATCCGGAAGGAACTTGAGAATCCTTGTCCCGGGGAGGAGACAATTCTGGGGGTGTACGAGGTTCTACAACCTCAGTGTGTAGTGCATGCCTGTCAACTAACAGCTGCTCCATAAGCATTTGGTGGGTAGTGAGTGAGTGACAATGTGGCTCTCCTCACAGGGAACAAGGTGAGAGTGACTCGGTCCAAGGACTCAGGGCAGAACCATTCTTAGTCCCCTTAGGACCACAAGTTTAGCTCGATGGGATTCATTCACTCATCACAAACACCACAACGGAAAGTGCAATGCCATAGATTAGCACCGGGGACCATGAAGACACCCAAGAGGGGATAATTAACTAAATGGAGGGCGGGGGGTGAAAGAGGCCAAGAATCGCTCCTGGAGGTGAGAATGAAGGGTGCTCTGGGGGCTGACCTCAAGGCTCAAGCCCTCCTGCCATTTTTCTACTCCCATGAGCCAGGCTTCTTGGAGTCCACAGGCTACAGTTGGATGGCTATGACCCCCTGGCCCCAACAGAATCCACCTTGTCCCCATCTTTTACCGCTGCCCCTCCCACTGTCCCTCCCTGCTGTCAGCTGTCTGTCAGCCTTCCCACACCCAGAGAACAGTATCTGCATTCTGCAGACTGAAAGTGCCCAAAGGAATAGGCTCTCGTGGCAAAATTCCAAGTAGCATGAAAAATAAATGGGAGCTGTTTGTTCTCAAGATGATATTTATTCTCAAAAATAAGTGAAAGTCCTGCCCAGGCCCCCTGAATGCCTCTCCCAGGGCCCTCCGATCAGCTACTCAGCTCACCCTCCCAGCACTACTGCAAAGCAGCCCCTGGGCCCCTGCCGCCTGGAGCATGACTGGGTCTTTAAGCCGAGGAAAATGCTTCATCATGCTCTGCTTCCTCAAGCAAAACCAGAAACTCCCTTCCCCTGCCCCCTCCCTCCAGCACACTCCCCTTCCAGTAAAACGTGGTTAAAGGGACAGCACCATTCAGTCCCCAGCCAGGAGGGTCTGCACAGAACCAAGGGGCTGGGAACAGGGCAGAGGGCAAACAGAGAGGAACTGGCAGGGGGCTTTCCTGGGGCTCCCACAGAAGGAAAACCAGAGTAAAGTGGAGGGGGAGGCATAGTAGAGGTCATGATAATGGCCTGGGAGAGGTTCAAATCTGGGAGGGGAGTCTACACTGACTTCCCTGGGGTCTTAGGGCTTCTGGTATTTATGGGGTTCTTTTCAAAGGAACCGGACATCCCAAGTCGGGGGAAAACTTCACAGAGAATGAGGAGCCCTACCAGCAAGACCTGGGTGGGTCGGTGGCTCACTGGGCGATCCTTCTGGGTCACTCAGCCCCACCCCACCCCCACCGCAGTTCCGCATCTGCAGAACTCTGGGGTCCTGCAAGGAAGAGTCAGCAGGCTTCCCTCCCCTCCCCCCAAGCTAAAGGCAGAAGTTAACCCCTTTCTTGCCAAGAAGAGGAGTCTCTGTCCGCGGTGCTGAAGCACCAGCCGCAGCGCCGCCCCCACACCCCAGGCATCCGACATGAGCCAGCACCTAGAGAGAGAGAGCCAAGTAACACAGCAGTTACCTGGACCCCCAGTTATCAGGGACCCGTTTGCTGCCCAATCTCCCATTAGGGCTCATGGGGGATGAGGGACTCTGGCACCCGGAAGCATCTCACCGCTTCCCCAGGGACTAGAGGGGATGTCTTTTGGGGAGCTGGCTTGTGCCCTGTCGGTGGGGGCGGGGGAAGAGGGTGACAAGTAGAAGCTGAGGTGGAGAGGGGAGAGAGGAAGTCGGTCTTACTAGTTGTGGGGGAGCCGCTGCCAGGTCTCCAGGCAACTTGTGGGCTCCCCTCCCTAAAGTGGGACAGTTGGGGGTCTAGGGCTGCAGCCTGTCCCTGGGGCAAGACCCCATCACTGTAGGGCACAGCTTGTCCAAGGTCACCCTGCTAACAAACTGCAGAGAGGCCTCAGGGGTGCAGAACCCGCACCTGCCCCCACAGGGCACAGAGGCCAGCTCTCCACCTTGCAGGCCCAGTCCCCCACAGCACCCCCACTCCAGGTTCTGGGCCTTGGTTCCCCTGCTCTGCCCTTCACTGAGGCTGGTTGCAAAGTGCCCCATTTTCCACCTTGGGGGCCACTGCAGACTGTGCAGATCTCTGTGCCCCCCCACAACTGGGACCCCCCCACCATCCTCTGCAGTGTCTCCCATACTCCCTTCGAGGTAGTCTTACCTTCCTTCCCAACTCCAGGTGCCCCTTTGGCGGGAGTTTCTTGCGCTCTCCTGGTGGCCACACTAGCTGTTAGGGGAACACTGTACCTCTGATGGGGGGCAGAGTGAGGGCTATCCATCCTCCATAGTAGCCACCACGCTCCCATTCAGGATGGCCTCTCTCTCATGTTCCAGGCCGGCTATAGTGTCTCTGCACACCGTACACCGAGGGTCTCTAACTATCAGGAAACCTTGTGTCCCCTGCCCGGCGGCGTCCCCTCCCCTTCCTGACCACGCCAGTCTTCCATCGCTCTATCCCAAGGACAGCCTGCCCCGACCCCCTACCGGGTCCTCTCTTACTCCGAACACACTTGCAGGGTCGCCCGACCCGTACTCAAAAAGGTCCACACCGGTCCCCACTCCGGAAGTCCCCGGCTCGCAGTGGGGCGCCCCTCTGACGCTGCGTCGGCTCCCCTACTCTCCGCGGTGCCCCCGCCCCGCCCCTCTCAATGCGGCGCTGCCGGTCGGCCCGGGGCCGCGGGGGAGGAGGTGCAGAGGGCGGGGCCCGCCTCCCCACCCCCACTGCCTAGGGGCTGGACCGGGGCCGCGGCCGCTATAAAAGGGCCGGCGTCCCGGTGCTGCCGCAGTGCCTCCCGCCCCGTCCCGGCCCCGCACCTGCTCCGGCCACGATGAGCTTCGGCGGCGCGGACGCGCTGCTGGGCGCCCCGTTCGCGTCGCTGCACGGGGGCGGCAGCCTGCACTATGCGCTGTCCCGCAAGGGCAGCACGCGCTCGGCGACCGGCTCCTCCAGCGGCTTCCACTCATGGGCTCGGACCTCCGTGAGCTCCGTGTCCGCCTCACCCAGCCGCTTCCGCGGCGCCGGCGCCGCCTCGAGCACTGACTCGCTCGACACGCTGAGCAACGGGCCGGAGGGCTGCGTGGTGGCGGCGGCTGCTGCGCGCAGCGAGAAGGAGCAGCTGCAGGCGCTGAACGACCGCTTCGCCGGCTACATCGACAAGGTGCGGCAGCTCGAGGCGCACAACCGCAGCCTGGAGGGCGAGGCGGCGGCGCTGCGGCAGCAGCAGGCCGGCCGCGCCGCCATGGGCGAGCTGTACGAGCGCGAGGTGCGCGAGATGCGCGGCGCCGTGCTGCGCCTGGGCGCGGCGCGCGGCCAGCTGCGCCTGGAGCAGGAGCACCTGCTGGAGGACATCGCGCACGTGCGCCAGCGCCTCGACGACGAGGCCCGGCAGCGCGAGGAGGCAGAGGCGGCGGCCCGCGCGCTCTCCCGCTTTGCGCAGGAGGCCGAGGCGGCGCGGGCGGAGCTGCAGAAGAAGGCGCAGGCGCTGCAGGAGGAGTGCGGCTACCTGCGGCGCCACCACCAGGAGGAGGTGGGCGAGCTGCTCGGCCAGATCCAGGGCTGCGGCGCCGCGCAGGCGCAGGCGCAGGCCGAGGCGCGCGACGCCCTCAAGTGCGACGTGACGTCGGCTCTGCGCGAGATCCGCGCGCAACTCGAAGGCCACGCGGTGCAGAGCACGCTGCAGTCCGAGGAGTGGTTCCGAGGTGCGCATGCGCGCGGTGGGGTTGGGGGGGCGGTGGCGGGGGCGCCCCCTGCTGACTCAGCAGCGAGCGGCAGGGCGGAGGGACCACGGGGCGCAGCTGCGCCCCTGTGGAGTTGGTCAGCTCCTTGCTTCCCTGTGCAAAGTGCATGCGCCCTAGCTGAATAGCGGGTTCACGCGGGGTTTCTTGTGGAACACCCCCGACTCCGGGCTCCCTTTCGCTTGTCCTCCAGATTCTCGGTCAATTTCGGAGCCCTCTGCTCTGCACCTGAGCTTAGGCAGCCCCTCTCTCCGAGGTCCGTCTCTGCAACCCCAAAGCCGCGCGGGCTTCTGGTCCGCGAGCAGTGGGGGCCCTTTGCCCTGGGAAGCGGCGCTGCCCTCGCCTCTGTCCTGCAGCCTGCCGGGTCCCCTGGGCTACCCCTACCCACTCACCGCTTGACACCCTCTCCTTAATCTGCAGGGCGGGATGAAAGGGGTGGGGCAGTTTTTACAGGCTTTCTTCCCGGGGGGGGGGGGGGGGACCGTTGCCACAGCACTTGCTGCCCTGGGCTGGGCTGGTGGCCTGTGGGCTAGTGGGTCTCCCCTGTCTCCTCCAGGGACGCTGGGAGCCCCTCCAGCGCGTCCTCCTCCCCCAAGTTCAGCGCAGCCCTGAGTCAGCACTGAAGCTGTGCCCAGCAGCTGCAGGGTGACCTTGAGCGACACTCGCCCTCCCTGCTTTCCATTTCTTTTTGGGTTGAAGGAACCCATCTGGGCTTCTTTCACCTTGGGGATGGAGTGGGGTCCTGAAAAACCGCATTGTCCTGTGGAGAGAGGGCACAGGCTAGGCAGTTCTCAGATGCACCTGTGGCCCATGGTAGATGAGACTCCTCGCCCCCCGGACGGTGCCGAGGGCTTGGCCGTCCGTAGCAGGGAGCCCCAGCGCGCCCGGATTGGGATGAACGCCTCTTCCTGTGCCCTTTGTATCTCTGCAGCAGCAGAACCGTGCCCTCCCGGTCTCTGCGGCAAGGCCGCTCCCCGAGCAAACCTCTTTGCCCTCTTGGGTTTGCCCTTCACACAGGCAGGCCGTCCCAGGACTCCTGGCCCACCCAGCTGCCTTCCCTCCTTCCTCATCACCAGCAAGACTCGGGCCCTGAACGCCCCTGTCTGGGCATTCAGGAGGTGTAGACCAGTCTCCAGACTCCTCCTGCCCACCCCCACCCAGCCCAGGGTCGTCTGGGAAGCAGGAGCCAGGGTGTGGCCACCATGGGCTCAGGGGGCCGCTGTGCCGTCTGGTGGAGGACGGGATGGCAGGCTGGCCCAGGAGCCTCGGCCTCTGCAGTGACCTTGGGCTCTGCAGAAACCTGCAAGGAAGGGACCCTGGCTACGTGCTGACCTCGCTGCTCAGGGTTTTTATTTATTTATTTATTATTTATTTGGAAGTCAGACTTAGAGAGGGCGAGCTCCCATCTGCTGGCGCACTCCCCAAATGGCTGTAACAGCCAGGGCTGGGCTGAGCCAAAGCCAGGAGCCAGAAGCTTCATCTGCGTCTCCCATGTGAGTGGCAGGGGCCCAAGCACCCAGACTGTCCTCTGCTCCCTTCCCAGGCCGTTAGCAGGGAGCTGGATAGTAAGTAGAGCAGTCGAGACTTGAACCAGCACCTATAGGGGATGCTGGTATTGCAGGCAGTGGCTGTCCCCTGCTCACGACAACACCAGCTCCAGTCCTCCCACTTCTAAAGGCCACGGGCTTCAGCCACAGCGTCCAACCTTGAGCTCAGATTTCAGGCCCCTGGGCCAGGTCTCACCTGGGAACACCTAGCACCGCCAGCCTCTTGCTGGGGAGCTGGACCAAGCCTAAGGACCAGAGCTGGGGGTTCCTCTGTCCCTGGGGGATTATGAATCCCATGCTGGGAGGAGGAGGAAGAGTCTGACCCTTGAAACCAGAGAGACACTAGGTTTGCAACCCTGCTCTGCTTCTCCCCAGCCTCGGGCAGCAGTCATTTGCTTGTCTCGAAGGATAGGTTGAATTAAGTACCGAGTATGCTATCTGGCACCCAGTAAGTCTTCAACCCTTGTGTGTCACCGTCTCAGTCTGGGCACTGGAACTCCAATCCAGGCCTGTCTGACTCTGTGCTGTGCCCCCTTCTGCCCCAGTGAGGCTGGACCGACTGTCGGAGGCAGCCAAGGTCAACACAGACGCCATGCGCACCGCGCAGGAGGAGATAACGGAGTACCGGCGTCAGCTGCAGGCCAGGACCACAGAGCTGGAGGCTCTGAAAAGCACCAAGGAGTCGCTGGAGAGGCAGCGCTCGGAGCTGGAGGACCGTCACCAGGCCGACATTGCCTCCTACCAGGTGAGCAGGCCGCTCCCTCCGCTGGTTGGGTGACCCTGAACAAGTCACTGCCTCTCTCTGAGCGGAGCTGTTAAGACTGTGCAGGCAGACATACTTCCTGGCTGTGTGACCCCAGGAAGGTCACCTGCCTCTCTGACGCTGAATTCCTTCTCTGCAGCGCCTGCTTTCCAGGGCTGTGTAGGGCCAGGAGCCAGCAAAGTTTAAGGGAGATGAGCGTGAACACGCTGTGGTCTCAGTGGGGCACTGGGTGAACACGACCTGTGGGGCACCTGGGGGAGACCTTGGCAGGTTGCTCCTGTGAAAGACAAATGGTGCAAATAATACATGGCGATTAGAGAAAACTAGGAAATAGAGGGGGAAAGAAAAAAGAGGAGGAAAAAATACAAACCAGACTGGCCCCAGGGAGCCTGGTGTGAGGGGAGGAGTTCAGGTCCTGTGTAACGTGCACCTGTGTGTTATTACCAAGCTCTGACTGGTGGGCACCAGGGAAGTCCTGTGTGTTGGTGGTGGTGGTGGTGGGTGGGGGAGCCACAGCAGACAGGCCGTGCTCTCACTGAGCATTTGCTAAGCTTACAAGATCTGTTAAAAGTTCACTCATTTTCCCACTGACCAGACTGGCCCTAACCGTGGTGGACGTCTGGTGTGTTTCATTCCAGACCTTTCTCCAGGCTGGGATGGTAACACACAGAGGGGCTTTTGCTGCAGATTCTCCAGGCCCACCAGTGAGGGACCCCATGGCTTTGAGCAGGGGAGAGGTTGGCCCCAGTGAGCCACTTGTGGTTTGCATCGCTGGCCCTGGCTTCCCTAGTGCTGAGGGCCAGGCGCCGGCTGGCCTGTGACGTTGTGACTTCTTGTTCCCCCCACCCCCAGGAAGCCATTCAGCAGCTGGACAATGAGCTGAGGAACACCAAGTGGGAGATGGCAGCCCAGCTCCGGGAATACCAAGACCTGCTCAACGTCAAGATGGCCCTGGACATCGAGATCGCTGCTTACAGGTGAGCGGGGCCAGGGGCTCCCAGGGCACGCAGAGGGAGAGAGCCCTTGCGTTCTACAGAGGGTCTAAGCTGGGGTTTTTCAGGCCCCCATTCAGGCAGCCTGTCTATCTTAGAGAGAAGTCACTTTTTAAAAAAAATTGTGGTCAGATACAAATAACATAAAATTGCCCACATTACCGTTTTAATGACTCAGTGGCATTCACGATGTCGTGCAGCCGGCTCTGCCATCCATCCCCAGAACTGTTTCCGTGATCCCAGACGCCACCTCCGTTAACGGTACCTCTCCCTTCTCCCTTCCCCTCAGCCCTGGTGGCCTTCCTGCAGACAAAAAGTCTGGAGTGACTCAGCGGCACGCTGACAGGGACTTAGCAGGTTCAAGCTCCCCCCTCCCCTCTCCAGCGAGCCAGAAGGCTGCTTTTGGAGGTCTCCTCACTCCCCGGACATTTGTGCTCTGGGGAAGCAAGAGACGTGGGGACCACAGGCCCCCGCCGCGGGCTGCTGGGGATGCCGAGCTACCTGTCTGCAAGCCGACCCAGGCGATGCAGGGACTCCGGGGCTGTCCCAGAGCCCTCGGTTCGTGAGAGCTCTGCGGAAGCCAGTCCCCAAGACCGAGTCGACCCAGCTGAGCAGGGCTGACCCCACGAGGATCTGTCCCTCTTGCTGACTGCCGGCTGTCGGCTTTCCCCCCTTGGCTCTGGTCTGTAATCTGGCCACCCCAGTCGCTGGTGTCAGGTAGGAGCTTGGGAGAAAGGCGGATGAGGGCCCTCCCCCAGGCCTGTGCGTTGAGAGCCACAGGTGATTCGTACACCACTCAGCTCGGGAAGCGCTGGTCCGTGGGCTGACCTACGGGCTTCAGTCCTTCCTATTCATTAGGTCACTGAAATAATCCCTGAGGCAGGGCCTCTGCGAGCAAACTGAGGCTGAAAAAGTTTAAGGGGCTTGGCCAAGGTCACTCATGTAACAAGTAGCAAAGCCAGGAGAAGAAACTGCTGCCATCATCCTATTCCTAAAACACAAAGAATGACAACAGAAGGTCACAGGAGGATCTTGAAATTCAAGTGCAAAAATTCTAGGATCTCTTAAAAAAAAGATTTATGTATTTGGTAAGGCAGAGTTACAGAGAGAGGAAGAGACCATCCATCTGCTAGTTCATTCCCCAAACGGCCATGGCTGGGCCAGGCTGAGGCCAGGAGATTGGAACTCCATCTGGGTCTCCCACATGGATGCAGGGGCCCAAGCACTGGGGCCATCTTCTGCTTTCCCAGGCCACAGCAGAGAGCTGGATTGGAAGTGGAGCAGCCAGGACTTGAATGATGCCCATATGGGATGCCAGTGTTGCAGGCAGTGGATTAACCCGCTGTGCTACAATGCTAGTTGGCCCCCTCTAGGATCTCTTAAACCCAAATTTATAAATGCAGAATTATTTGCTTAGGATCCAGCTATCTCCTGAATAACATTTAGTTGAAGGACAATAAATGTAACTTCTGTGGGCCTTTTGTTTTTAAGATTTATTTATTTATTTACCTGAGAGGCAGAGTTACAGTGAGAGAGAGAGAACAGCCTTCCATCCACTGGTTCACTCCCCAAATGGCTGCAATGGTCAGAGCAGGGCCAACTGAAGCCAGGAACCTGGAGCTTCTTCTGGGTCTCCCATGTGAGTACAAGGGCCCAAGTACTTGGGCCTTCCTAGGCCATAGGTAGAGAGCTGGATCAGAAGTGGAGCAGCCGGGACACCAACCGGCACCTATATGGGATGCTGGAGCCCCAGGAGGAAGCTTAGCCTACTATGCCACAGAACTGGCCCCTGTGGGCTGTTTTTCTTGGGGAAGGAGGAGTGTTTTATTTAATAAGTTGCAGGCTTGCTGTATTAAACAGGAGCAGCCTCACTGGGGTATGGTTCTGGGCGGTCCCTGGGATGATTTGCTAAGTGACATTCTCCATTCTCAGAGTGCCCACTGTTCAGTCACATTGCTTCTGTCACTGAGCTTCAGGGTCATCCAGACCCCAAGCCAGGGAATCTGCCTGAGTTAACAATGATGTGTCCCATTATTCATTCCGCAGAAAACTCCTGGAAGGCGAAGAGTGTCGCATTGGCTTTGGCCCCATTCCTTTCTCCCTTCCAGAAGGACTCCCCAAAATCCCTTCCACGTCCACTCACATAAAGGTCAAGAGCGAAGAGAAGGTCAAGATGGTAGAAAAGTCAGAGAAGGAGACGGTGATAGTGGAGGAGCAGACAGAGGAGATCCAGGTCACCGAGGAAGTGACTGAGGAGGAAGAGAAAGAGGCAAAAGAGGAAGAAGGGGGAGAGGAGGAAGAAGCCAAGTCTCCCACAGAAGGAGGGGCTGCATCCCCGGAAGAGGAGGCCAAGTCCCCAGCCGAGGCCAAGTCCCCAGTGAAAGAAGAGGCCAAGTCTCCAGCCGAGGCCAAATCCCCCGAGAAGGCCAAGTCCCCAGTGAAGGAAGAGGCCAAGTCCCCAGCTGAAGTCAAATCTCCAGCCGAGGCCAAATCCCCAGCCGAGGCCAAGTCCCCCGAGAAGGCCAAGTCACCAGCCGAAGCCAAATCCCCCGAGAAGGCCAAGTCCCCAGTGAAGGAGGAGGCCAAGTCCCCTGAGAAGGCCAAGTCCCCAGTTGAAGTCAAATCTCCAGCCGAGGCCAAATCCCCCGAGAAGGCCAAGTCCCCAGTGAAGGAAGAGGCCAAGTCTCCAGCCGAGGCCAAGTCCCCCGAGAAGGCCAAGTCCCCCGTGAAAGAAGAGGCCAAGTCCCCTGAGAAGGCCAAGTCTCCAGTGAAGGAGGAGGCCAAGTCCCCCGAGAAGGCCAAGTCCCCAGTGAAGGAAGAGGCCAAGTCCCCCGAGAAGGCCAAGTCCCCTGAGAAGGCCAAGTCCCCAGTGAAGGAGGAGGCCAAGTCCCCCGAGAAGGCCAAGTCCCCAGTGAAGGAGGAGGCCAAGTCCCCTGAGAAGGCCAAGTCCCCAGTGAAGGAGGAGGCCAAGTCCCCCGAGAAGGCCAAGTCCCCTGAGAAGGCCAAGTCCCCAGTGAAGGAGGAGGCCAAGTCCCCCGAGAAGGCCAAGTCCCCTGAGAAGGCCAAGTCCCCAGTGAAGGAGGAGGCCAAGTCCCCCGAGAAGGCCAAGTCCCCAGTGAAGGAGGAGGCCAAGTCCCCCGAGAAGGCCAAGTCCCCAGTGAAGGAGGAGGCCAAGTCCCCAGAGAAGGAGACCCCCAAGAAGGAGGAGGTGAAAGTCAAAGAGCCCCCAAAGAAGGTGGAGGAGACAGCCCCCGCCCCACCGAAAGTGGAGAAGGACAGCAAGAAAGACGAGGCACCCAAGAAGGAGGCCCCAAAGCCTGCTGTAGAAAAGCCCAAAGAATCTACAGCTGAAGCCAAGAAGGACGAGGCTGAAGATAAGAAAACAGCAGCTCCTGCCAAGGTGGAGGGGAAGGAGGAGGCTAAACCCAAAGAGAAGACGGAGGTGGCCAAGAAGGAGCCGGAGGATGCCAAGGCCAAAGAACCCAGCAAACCCACGGAGAAGGAGCCCGAGAAGCCCAAGAAGGAGGAGACCCCCGCAGCCCCGGTGAAGAAGGATGCCAAGGAGGAGGCCAGGAAGCCCGAGGAGAAACCCAAGACGGAGGCCAAGGCCAAGGAGGATGACAAGGCCCTCTCAAAAGAGCCCAGCAAACCCAAGACGGAGAAGGCAGAGAAATCCTCCAGCACGGACCAGAAAGATAGCAGGCCTCCGGAGAAAGCCACAGAAGACAAGGCCGCCAAGGGGGAGAAATAGAGCGGGAAGAAGGGACGTCCCAGAGCAGCCAAAGACTCGGGGGGAGGGTGGTCCTGGAACTCAAGGGCCGGTGTAAGGAATTTCCCTTCCCTCCTCCCTTTTCTTTATGTAAGAAGAAACTCTGCTTAGACGACGGGCCCTCCTTTGCCAAACAGGAATTTCTGTTAGCGACATGTTAGCGAGAGGGCGCCGACACCCACATCCCAACCCTCCCTAGGCGATGGACAATTATGTTATGATAGCTTATGTAGCCGAATGTGATGTACGCCGAATGCCACACGTAAACACTTGACACAAACTGCCCCACCTCCTTTCCAAATAAGTGCATTTATTTCCTGTATGTACAACTGACTGATGACCGCAGTAACGAACGAGCAGTTAGACATGCATTACGCTTGAGATGTCTTAACCTACTCCCGAATGCCTTCTGTTTTCCAAAACAGTGGTCAAGCCCTCACCCCGAGCTCTCTGTCCTGGAAGAGCTGGAGCAGGTGGGGCTGGGCTGTGGCCACCGAACCAAGCCAGGGCGCACTTTCCACTGGAGTTCACTTTCAATTGCTTCTGTGCAATAAAACCAAGTGCTTATAACATGGAAGTGCTGCTGCCATCTTTCATTCTCTTCCCTTGGGGGGACTGGGGGCTGGGATGGAGAGGGCTCTAGACGTCGCACCTAAGATGGCGAGGGACTAAGTGACCTTCAGAGTGTGCTTGTGGGTCTGGGACCAGATGCATGGCCTCTCTGGTGCTGTTTCCTGGACCCAAACCGTGTGCCAGACAAAATGGCAGGTGCTTTAATGTTAGGATCTGCGGACAGGTGGCCAGTCGTGTGGGGGTCCATGGACTGCCTTCATCATCACCAATCACCTGGCGGCCTTAGAAACCTGCACACTGCTTGGCCCCACCCTGGGCCACTGAATCACAATCTGAGGTTGGCTTGCCCAGCTCTGTGCAGATGGTGGCACACACTGAGGTATGGGAAGAGGTGTGGTCCGAGATTCTGCAGTCTGTTGATGGGATCCTGCATGTCCACTTCTGTAAGGAGGGAGGGGCCTGCTGGGTGAGGGGCCGTCGTCCGCTAACTCACCTGTGCTGAAGACTTGACTGGGAACAGTCTGGTTGCTGGGCTGACCCGCAGTGTGCGTCACTGAAGTCTACTGTGAAAGCTGGGGTCGTCATGTAGGTTTCCATGGGGTCTTTGCTGTGAGACCCTGTGCAGATTCCAACCTGAGGACTGTCACAATACCTTGTTCTGTTTGCTTAGCACCTCTCAGGGGAACTCCCCAGGAGGTGGTTCTCAAGGAGCCCTAATTTCCCTGTACCTCTGGTTCAGTGGTGATTGGTCCAAGAACAGCCACTTGACACCAGCTGAACCAATGAGAGCCCTCTCTTGGGATTTTCAACTTGGGACCAGAGTAGCTGGCCATCCTCTGGCTGTGGAAGGCAGGATGTGGGCAGCCACGTCTTCAGCCTTGTGGAGAAGCCAGCCTGACCCTGGGTTTGGTGTATGACCAGAGGTGGGACACCTCAAGAGCCATGGGAGATTTCAGGTATCTTCATCCTTTGTTGCCCATTCCTGCGGCAGTCAATCCCCCTCTTTGCCAAAGCTCCTTGGGGGTGACGGTGCTGTCCATCGCAACCAGAGTTCTGAATAGAAAAGCAACTGAGGGGCTGGTGCTGTGGCGTAGCAGGTAAAGCCGCCACCTGTGGTGCCGGCATCCCACATGGGTGCTGGTTTGAGACCTGGCTGCTCCACTTCCAATCCAGCTCTCTGCTATGGCCTGGGAAAGCAGTAGAAGGTGGTCCAGGTCCTTGGGCCCCTGCACCTGTGTGGGAGACCCGGAAGAAGCTCTTGGCTCCTGGCTTCGGATCAGTGCAGCTCCGGCCATTGCAGCCATCTGGGGAGTGAACTAGCAGATGGAAGACCTCTCCTTCTCTGTGTAACTCTGAATTTTGAATAAATAAATCTTAAAAAAAAAAAAAAAGGTGAAAGGGCTGGTGACCATGCTACAGGCCAAGTGGTGCTGTCCTGGGGAGTGGGCAAGTGCCTCCCCAAAGTTCTGCCATGGTCAACTCCTCAGGATAGGATCGGGTATCAGACTGCCCCTTCAGGGTCCTGCTGTCTCAGCAGTTACTGTATGTATACATGTGTAGCTCTCTGCTGGCCTCATTCCCAGCCCCTCCAATCAGAACTTGCCAGTGTTTCTGCCCACCAACTCCCTCCTACCTAATTCATAAAGCTCCCGCCAAGACAGGCGGTCAGGAGGCAGGCTGGGGTCACTTCTGCCCTTGACCGGCAATAACAGCCGGCCTCCTATCGGAGACGGACACTGCAGACTCCAATGGTGAGCACCGAGCAGTGGGGCTACCTTGTTCTGTAACTGGTCCACATCTCGCCTTCGGCAAATGTTTCCCCTTTGTCACAAGGTCTGAATTTTTTAAACTTTTATTTGTATTTATTTGAAAGGCAAAGTGACAGGCAGACAGATACAAAAAGAGTGGGATCTTGAACCTACTGGTTCACTCCCCAGATGGCCAGAACAGCTGAGGCTGGGCCAATGCCAAGAACCGTGAACTCAATCCAAGTCTCCTGGGTTGGTGGCAGGGGCCCGAGAACTGGAGCCATCATCTGCTGGCCCCCAGGGTGCACACGAACAGGAAGCTGGATCAGCAGCCACGGTGGACTAACCTAGGCACTCCAACATGGGATGTGGGCGTCCCAATCAGTGGCTTAACCTGCTGCACTACCACATCTGCCTCTGCATATGTTTTAAATTAGTTTATTTGGAGACTCAGAGAGACAGAGACAGAGCTCCCCAAATGCCTGCAATGGCCAGCGCCAGGTCAAGGCTGGAAGCTGGGAAGTCAATCCAGATCTCCCATGTGGAGAGCCATCGCTCAGTGTCTCACAGGGTGCACTTCAGCAGGGAGCTGGAATCAGGAAGTGGATCTGGGAGTCAAGCCGGGGCACTCAAATGTGGGATAGAGGGGCTGGTGCTGTGGCGCAGCGGGTTAATGCCCTGGCCTGAAGAGCCAGCATCCCATATGGGTGCTGGTTCGAGATCCAGCTGTTCCACTTCCGATCCAGCTCTCTGCTATGGCCTGAGAAAACAGTAGAAGATGGCCCAAGTCCTTGGGCCTCTGCACCGGTGTGGGAGACCTGGAAGAAGCTCCTGGCTCCTGGCTTGGGATTGGTGCAGCTCCGGCTGTTGTGGCCAACTGGGGAGTGAACCAGCAGATGGAAGACCTCTCTCTCTCTGTGTAACTCTGACTTTTGAATAAATAAATCTTAAAAAAAAAAATGTGGAATGCAAGCATCCCGAGCACTGGCTTAACCACCAGCCCAAATGCCCACCCCAGTCTGAATTTTTAAAAGAGTGCCAAGAGGGTTAGGATGGTCACATTTAAACAAACACATCTTTAAATGCCATTGGCTCTTCGTCCAAATTACCAAACACACATAAGGACTCCAGGGAAATATAAGCAGTAATTTTCCAAGCATCTCTGCCTGGAGAAATGAACTCTGCCCTGAGAAATCGGACAGACCTTCCCCACACCGAATACACACACAGGTCCCAGCTACAGTATCTGAGTATCAAGCTGGGATCTGGGACTCAGGAAATCCCCATGTATCTTATCTGAAAAAAGTTACAGCTGATGGTTATACCACCTTACTTATTATAAATAAGTACCTTTCTAAGATAACCACGTTTTTATATGAATTCTCTTCCATCCACATGAGTGTTTTCCAGGGTAGGTATTCTGATGATTCTGTCTCTCCCTCTCTCATCTGTAACTCTTTCTGACTTATGTAAAAAAAAATAATAAACTACACTTTGGCTAAGCATTTTAAGCATTTAGAAAAAATACATAAATATTCTAAAAGGAGAGTTAAGAGATCTTCCATCTACTGGTTCACTCCTCAAATGCCCACCATGGCTGGGGCTCGGCCTGGCTGAAGCCAGCAGCCAGGAGCTTCATCTGGGTCTCCCATGTGGGTGGCAGGAACCCAAGCACTTGAACCATCACTGCTGCCTCCCAGGTGTGCATTATCAAGAAGCTGGACTCAGGAGCAGAGCCGGGACTCAAATCCAGACATCTGATATGGAAGTGAGGTGTCCCAGGCATTGTCTTAACCACTATGCTGAACTCCTATCACCCCAACCCTGGCTAAGCATGTAGCTCAGTAACGTGAGCACTCTGGAACCCGCATGTCTCAGAATAGAGGACCTCGGACAAGGCCCCACACCACAGCCTGGATTAAAAGTTGGGGCTGTCTAGGGGGCCAGTGCTGACGTAGTAGGTAAAGCTGCTGCCTGCGACACCAGCATCACATATGGGCATTGGTTCTAGTCCTGGTTGCTGCTCCACTTGTGATCCAGCTCCCTGCTAATGCACCTTGGCAAAAGCAGCCAATGACCCAAGTGCTTGGGCCCCTGCACTCACATGGGAGAAGCTCCTGGTTCCTGGCTTCAGACTAGCCCATCTCTGGCTGTTGTGGCCATTTGGGGGCATGAGCTGGCATATGGAAGACCTCTCCCTCTCTCTCTCCCTCTTTCCCTCTCTGTAACTCTTTGAAATAAATTGGAGGAGAAAAAAGAAAAAAGAAAGGAAGTTGGGCCTGTCTGACCAGAGCCCAGCTCGTCCTTACTCTGCCCTCCTGCTTCTGTTCTCCAAGAGAACACAGTACACGGTCACCCCAAACCTGACGCCGACGGCGTTCGTGTGCCAGGAGCCCCAGCCCCCCTCGACGGGATCATTCTCATTCTCACGGTAGTCCCAAGTGGCACAGGCAGGGCAGGAGGGTCTGACCCAGCTGCCTCTGCGTTTTTGCCCTAAGTGAGCGTGTTCCCAAAGAGCTGGCTGCTACCGACCAGGAGGGGCTTTAGCCACCTTCAGACAAAACCGTCCTCTCTCTGGGGGAACACACTTTCGGAAAAACCCAGAGTCAGGTTGCTAAGGACTTGTCTGTCAGACACCAGAGGCCCGGGGGACACGGACAACTGTGGAAAGCAGCTATTTTAGGAATGTGCCCCTCCTGCTGGCCAGCTGTTGGCTCCACAGATAGAGCTGAGTTGATGAAAAACATCCTTCACCCCCCCACTGTCGCTCCCCCTCTTCGTGGAGGAGCAACACTAAGCCCTGCCTAGGCTTCATATCCGAGTCACGGCACCATTATGTCGCTCCCCCTCTTCGTGGAGGAACGACACAGGACCCTGCGCTGTTCTTTCTGTCTGCTCGGCCCTCCCCGGGTTTGCTGCTGGTTCTTCCCGGGTTGGCTACTATCCCTTCCACCTCCGTGGAAGGGCAGTTCCCCCTGGCCGCATTCCCCACTTCCGCAGGGGAGCGGCACACCGCCGGCCGGTTCTCTCGGGGGCTGCACGGGTTCCCTTAGATGTTCCCCATAGATGTTCCTGGTGCATGCCGTCTCTCTCCTCCTTTATAGTCCTCCTCCGCCAATCCCAACTCGGCTGCCCACACGCCGAGTACGCTGCTCTCCTCCAATCAGGAGCAAGTCCTACAGTTTATTAGTTGAACTGGAGGCAGCTGTGCGGAAGCTGTTTACTTCTCTCCCAGCGCCATATTGTGGGAGAGCAG